CCTAGGTTCAAGGAAGACCTGGGTTTGAGTTCCTTCTATGACATACTGGTTATGTGATGCTAGGCAGATCATAGTATCCTAAATATAGAGAGTGGAAGGGAACTTCAAGGATATCAAGTCCAACTCCTGTATTTTACAGATGAGGAAACTGAGGCTAGGAGGTTAAGTGGCTTGCTGGGGGTCACAAGCAAGTGTCTTAGACAGGATTTGAACTCAGGTCTTCCTGACTCCAAATTCAGCACACTAACCACTGGGCCTCCTGGCTGTTTCACGTAACAGGCAACCCCCTATAAGTTGCGGATTACATACTGGTCTGCTTTGGTAGAGGGAATCACTTCACTGGGACATTTCTATGTCAATGAAACCATAGGTGGATAAAAATAATAAATAATCCTAGTTTTGAAAAACAAAACAAAACAACCCCCCCCCATCATACCTCACCACCCCCAAAGGGGGGGGTGTTGCTCTCCTGACCCCACCCTCTTAAGAGTCTTTAGACTGAAATTTCTTCCCACTTATTCTCCAGGGAACAGAGTGCATGGAGGTTGTCCAGGATTCTGCTGAAAGCCTGATGTGAAAGCCCCACGCTCTTGGGGGACAGTCAGGAAAGAGCACGCTTGGAGATCCCTGCTTGGGTCCTTCCTACAGCTCTTGGGACTAGACCTTACCGCATCTTCAATGCCATTTTTGTTCTCTTGATACTTGGCTGAGTCAGGGTGTGACAAGTCCAGGGAATAGAGCACGCTGGTGACAGTGAAGTTCAATTGGAAGTGTCGGGGCCTGGGGTCAATCAGTGGCTTAGCTGTAGACAGTGGGGTGGCTGCTTCCAGTTCTGGGGAAAGAACAAAGAAAAAGATGATTGATGATGATGATGATGATGGGGGCCCAAGCTGGGAGAGGCTACAGAGAGGTCATACAGGCCAGAGTCCCCTTCCTTCCTCCAGGGATAGAAAGGTGGCTGGCCCTTTTCTCTGGCTCAAACCCTGACCTTCTAAGATAGATGGTACCAGCATCCATTTCAGGAGGCCAGGTAGCAGCTGACTGCTCCCAGGAAAGTCTGGTGAGTTAGAACCACAGACAGAGGGTCACTTAAGAGTTGGGTCCCCTCATTTTACACGTGGAAACGATGAGGTGCGGTGAGGTTTGTTCGTCAGATCTGGAGACCTCCTTGTAAGCCTTATGATGACCTTTCCCAGGATGCCTTCTGCACTTGTGTGAACTCCAAACATTCCCAACAGGATTAGCTCCCAGGTATTTTACTGCACCCATTGGGAAGCCCAGCTCCAATGTTGCCTCCTCTGGGAAGGCTCCCTGAATTCCTCATGCCAGGAATAGACAGTCCCCTAGGACCTCACAGGGCTCTCTGTTATGCCTGTATCTAATGCATTTATAATGCAGTAAGTAGTCTGTATTATCCCCAGGCAACTCTCCAAATCACATAAGTCTCAAGAGGGTGAAAAATCTGCATTGGCAGAGGAAGCTTTTCTGCCAAGTGCTCTGTTCATGCATGAAATCCCAAACCTTGCCTCACCTCTTACCACTGCCTTCTGTTATCCCCTTGGGAGGCCATGTGGGTGAAGAAGACTCTGAAGCTGGCTTCAGAGCCAGGAAGACCTGGGTTCCAATCCAGCTGGTTCTGGTTGACCCCGGGCAAGTCCCTTTCCCTCTCAATGTCACTCTCTATGAGTCTAAAGCATATATTAATATGCACTGGTAACGGGAGTTCCCTCAGGGGAGTTCTCTGTGCCTATGAAATCCCAGGTGAAGAGAGGAGAGGAAAGGAGAGGAGAGGAGAGGAGAGGAGAGGAGAGGAGAGGAGAGGAGAGGAGAGGAGAGGAGAGGAGAGGAAGGAGAGAGAGGAGAGGAGAGGAAGAGGAGAGAGAGGAGGGAGGGAGAGGAGAGGAGAGGAGAGGAGAGGAGAGGAGAGGAGAGGAAGGAGAGGAGAGGAGAGGAGAGGAGAGGAGAGGAGAGGAGAGGAGAGGAGAGGAGAGGAGAGGAGAGGAGAGGAGAGGAGAGGAGAGGAGAGGAGAGGAGAGGAGAGGAGAGGAGAGGAGAGGAGAGGAGAGGAGAGGAGAGAGGAAGGGGAGAGGAAGGGGAGAGGAGGGGAGGAGAGAGAAGAGAACATAGGAGAGTAAAGGAGGGAGAGGTGGGGAGAGGAGGGGAGAGGAGGGAGAGGAGGGGAAGTGGGAAGAGAGGAGGGGAGAAGAGAGGAGGGGAGGGGAGAGGGGAAGAGAGGAGAGGAAAGAAGAATGCATAGTATGATTTTGCATATTTATACCTATACATCTATGTCTTTCTCTAGTAGGTGGTGGGAAGGGAAGGAGACAGTTAGTTACAAACTTAAAATGTAAGAAAAAATAAATTTTAAAAAAGAAAGAAAAGGAAAGGAACAAGCATTTATTAAGCACCTGTTATGTGCTAAACGCTTTCAAAATACTACCTCATTTGAGATGCTAAATCAATGTTTTGTAAATGAAAGAAGTTTGAACATCCACAGAGGAACAGAGAGAAAGGGGGAGCCTAAAGGGGCAGATGGGGACAGGGTATGTGTGTTCTCTAGCCCTTTGGGGCCTCCACTTTGGCTTCAGGGATGACTTCGTTGCTGGGACTCTCAGAAGGCATGTGGAAAGAGAAGGTTCTGTCCTGAACAGGCTCCACGGCCAGCTTCTCATCTGGGGCTGGGGGAGTGTAGGGGTGGTCTGGAAGTCTAATTGTTTTTTCCCAGATCTGACACAAACTCTCGATGACTTTGGACAGAGTCACATCTGCTCACTGGATCTCAGTTTGCTCAATCACAAAATGACAGTGTTGGAGTATCTGAGGCCCTTCCCAAATCGAACCTTCTACATTCTGTATGCTAGGGCTCCTCCAAACTGACATCCTGGGTTCTAAGGGCCCTCCCAGCTCTGACATCCTGGGTTCTAAGGGCCCTCCCAGCTCTGACATCCTGGGTTCTAAGGGCCCTCCAGCCTCTGATAATTTCTGTTCTAAAGGCTCTCCCAGCTTTGACTTTTTAGGTTCTAAGAACGTTCCTATTTCACTCATGTTATGCCTTATATTCTAAGGAACTTCCTAGCTCAACACTGTTTCAATCCCATAAGTGTTCACTTCACCCCCATTTCCTGGGGTACAAGCTTCCCAAGTGCTTTCTTCAGCTTCTGTTTGCCATGAGCCCCCTTCCCATCGCCCATCCCCACTGCAGCTTCCTCTCCCCCTACACCCCAGCCATTCAGGCCCCCATACTTGTCACTTGGAGGTTATCCAGCTTATAGGAGTCCCTGAGCCAGTGGGCTGTGGCATCCTGGGTCCTGTCCAGAAACACTTGTCCAATGGTGTCAGGATCCAGGTTGGAGGAGAAGCTGCAGTTGCAGGTGACATACACAGAGCCCATCCTATGGACCAAGATTACAGGGCATTTGGTCAGAGGCCTGGTACAGATGGGACCCCGGCTGCCCATCCCACTGTGGCCTTGGTCAATAGCCCTGTGGTGAGTTGAGGAGGTTTTCTGCCCGTAGCCCAGGGAGGCAGGGTGCAAGGAGTCCGCAAAACCTCTGAGATCAGTTGATCAATCAACTAGCATTTACTGAACACCTACTGTGTGCAAGGTACTCTTCTGGGCACTGGGGAACCATCCACCTAATGGCAGGGAAAGATCTCTCCTCTAGTGTTCCTGGCAGGTCGCTTTTTCTCTCCTCTGCTCAAGCAGCAGCAGCTCTGATTTTAAGGATGTTCTCACATGAGGTGGAAATCTATCTTCTGTACAACTGCCCCCACTCGCCCTCGTTTCCCCCCCCCCGGAATCCCATGGCGCAAGTCTGCTTGCTCTGCCCCATACAGCATCTCAGCATTGGGAGGGAACTCAGTGGCCAGCTAGTGTCGTACCCCTCAACAACATCCATGACAAATGGTAATCCAGCCTCTGTCTGAAGACCCCCCCAATGCTCCTGTGACTCTGTGAGGGAAAGCACCCATTGAATTGCTTTCGCTCACCCTCATACAATGAGGGTCCGAGTCCCTTCCCCTTCCTAGTCACCCTCCTCGGTCCCTCCTGACATGGGGTGACCAGAACTGGACCCAACCTTCCTGATGCGGTCCACTTGGGACCTCCATCTCCCTTGTCTGGGGCACTATTTTTCTATTCAAAAGTAAAATCGAGCCCTGACAAGAGGGGATACCAAGCTCGGACATGGCAGGGGGGAAGGGCTGGAGAGGGAGAGAGAGGAGGTGGGGAACAAAGCCCAAAGGAGGCTGAACATCCTGGGGAGGCCTAGAGGAGGGAGGGGGCAGAGCACATTGAAGTCCCCGGGGTGAGGGAAGATTAAGGGGAAGACCCCGAGGAGGTGAGACCGCAGGCATCCAGGGTTATACCTTACTAAGAGATGAATTTATTTTAATGAAAGGCAAAACACATAGCGTTGCCCCAAAGTGGAAGGGGCAGCCTTGGGAAAAGATGAATTCTCTCTTGCTAGAGGTCTTTAGGCAGGGGATAGATGACCGTTTGTCAGCCACGTGGTATTATGGAGCCTTGTTCAGGTCTAAGGTGCACTAGACATCCTCTGCGCTTCATCCCAATACTGGATTCTGCAATCCGTTTGGGCCCTGCAACGAGGCCCCACTGGGAGGGACAAAGCCCGAGGCAGGACTGGCTGTGCCCAGTCCCTTTTCTTGTCTCTTCACAAGGACACTGGAGATAAATCTGGCCTGTCCAGAGCCAGCCTTGCCCTGAGTGTCCCCAAGGAGTCTTAGATCATAGATCTCAGTACTGTCAGAAGCCGGCAGGGAGGCTGGCCCAGAGGGAGCCAATGATGGGGTTGGCTGGGGCCAGGGAAGAGCAATCAATTATGCATTAAGTGCCAGCACTAGGGCAGTGGAGGAGGGGGGAGATGGGGAGGGATAGTTGGGGGCGTGGCCTTCCTGGCCAGAGCCACACCTACCTGAGGCCTGTGATGAGGCAGTAGTGGAATCTGTCCTGGAGCTGGCTGCCTGCATACAGCTGTGTCATCTGAAATGGAGAGCAGTATGATAGAGCAGAGTTGTGCCCCCGTCCGTGTTCCTCTGCCCACGCCCAGGCACCTGAGGAAAGCTTGGGAAGCTCTGAGGGGTCCATTCTGGGAGCTCAAAAAGCTGCTATCAGGATAGGCCCACAGGTGCTCACTCTCTGTCTCTCTCTGCCTCTGTCCTCCTCCTACTCATTCTTCTTCCCCCCCCCTCTCTCTGTCTTTCTCCCTCTCTGTCTCTGTCCTCCTCCTCCTTCTCCTTCTTCTTCCTTTGTCTCTGTCTCTGTCTCCCTCTCTCTCTCCTCCTCCTTCTTCCTCTCTCTCTGTCCTCTCTCTCTCTTCCCTCTCTTTTCCCCTCTCCCAGCTCTCATCCCTCCCCATCCTCTATCTCTCTTCTCCCTCTCTCTTTCCCTTCCTGCTCCCTCTCTTCCTCCCACCGATGCAGATCACACTTGCCCTGTAACCTAATTGTCTTAGAGACCTAGCTGGGGCCCCTAGAAGTTAGGTGCTTTTCCTGGGGTCACAGAGTCAGTACATATCAGAGGCAGGATTTGACACCAGGTCTTTCTGAGGCCTAGGCATACAAGCCCACACAATAAATGGGGCAGGAAGAAGAATCCTCCACTGGACATGCAGAGCCATAGCTGGGAATGTACGTTGGTGTGGGAGAAAGTGCCACAAACCTTTCAGAGGTGGCACCAAAGGTATCGTTTGGGGTGGGAGTGATATTGTGCTGTGAAGTGGGCGGCACAGAAACCCTGGGACACTGGTGGGAGGGGAGACTGCCAGGGCGGGGGCAGGGGTGCACAGAGCACCTTACATGCTGTCATCACTCTTGAGCTCTCTGGGACAAAACCCTACTTGACACACCCTCATTATGTGTCTCAGGGAGTATCCTTCTGTAAAGTTCCTGAAAATGCCTTCTCTGGGATGTGCTGATTGCTAGAGCAGGAAGGAAGCTGTAATCACCTTCTAAGCATCCTGTTGGCCTTAACTCTTTGCCCTCCCTAGTCCATCTTTTGCAAACCACCCAAGTCACCTTCCTAATGTCTCCTCTGATCGCATCATTCTTCTATTCAAACAACCCTCAGTACCCCCTCATTACTTAATAAAGTATCACCTTCTAAATCTGGCATTCAAGGCCCTCCACAATTTGGGTCCAATTGACCTTTCCAGCTTTTCTCAAACTCTTTTGAATCATAAATTTAGCTGGGAAGGGATTTCTGAGGTCATCCAATCCACTCCACAACCCCACCCCCCAACACACACAAAGGCAACATTTTACAATTGAGAAAACTGAGGCCTAGAGAGATGTGACTTCCCTTAGGTCACATGGATAGCATGTAAAAGCCAGGATCTGAACCCAGGTCCTTTGACTCTAAATCCTTCAATTCTTTCGACTGCTCCACATTTCCTTCTCACACTCTTATTCCAGCCAAACTTGGTCTCCCCTCACCACCACACACACACACATATTACCTACACCCCATTCCTATCTTGCCTCTCATCTCCGTGCTTTTGCTATCATACTAATTCCATGTCTGAAATGTCTTCTTACTATCAGAATCTCCCCCTTCCTTGAGGACTCCATTGTGGTACAGACACATAACTAGGAAGGGACCACCAGAGCTTTGTCCCAGGGCACCACTAGCCTGGTTCGGGGGCACGATCCCTTCTCTATGGCCTCAGTGGCTTCATCCTGCTCCCAGCGGCAGTTTCCACTTGGGGCATTTATCTCCCCTTCCCTACAGCTAGGGAATTTAGATGATGCAAGTGAGAGTGCCCTGAGCCACCTCCTCCTTTGCCTGGTCTCATCCACCACAAACGTGCGCCAGCACATGCACACTAGCATTGTGTCAGGAAGTGCTTCCTCCCCCTGGCGGCTGCACCCTTTGTTTCCCCCACCAACCCCCGCAATTGCTCCTGTTTGCTCAGACACAAAGATTGCTCGTAGTAGTTTTGCTCAGGAGTCAGTTTCTTCCAAGAATGTTTCCTAGTCTTTCCTCCCCACCCCAAATAAAGGTGATCCTCCTCTGAACATTTCTTATAGCACTTTGTCCAGGCTTCTCAAAATCATAGCTAATATTTCCATAGCCCTTTTAAGGTCATCTTGATAACTACCTTGTGAGGTAGGTGCTAGTATTACTCCCACTTTACAGATGAGAAAACTAAGGCTGAGAGAGGTCAAGTGACTTCTCCAGGGTCACACAGCTAGTAAGTCTCTAAGGCAGAATTTAATCCAGGTCTTCGTAACTTTAGGTCACAGGCTTTATCCACTATATTACTTTAGTCTACTCGTTTGCACTTATTTCACTCTTCTATAATAGATGGTTGTGGAATGTCTTGCTCTGGTATTAGAATGAAAACTCCTTGAAAGCAAGGTCTGTGTGCCATTTACCTTCATATCTTTCCCACAGTCATATATGGTGGATGCTTAATAAATATTTGTTAGTTGGATGGATGCATGGATGCATGGATGGATAGATGGATAGATAGGTAGATAGAAAGATGAAAGAGAGAGAGAGAGAGAGAGAGAGAGAGAGAGAGAGAGAGAGAGAGAGAGAGAGAGAGAGATGTATGCATGAATGGATGGATGGATGGATGGATGGATGGATGGATGGATGGATGGGAGGGGGAATCATGAGTTTATAGGGATCTTACTGATGTGGGCACCATGGGTGTGGATGGTAGAAATGTCTGGGCTGTATATGTAATCAGAAGGGATGTGGAGGGAAGGAGAGTACCAGAAGTAGAAGGAAGGCATTAATGAGAAGTCTGGACCTGGAAGCATTATGTGTTACTAGTCAAAGTCTTATATTAAAGGAGATTATCAGTGAGGTCCAGGGTCTTAGGAGCACAGGCGCCCTTCCAGTAAGAGAGGCATCACACCCAAGACGAAGGGAGGTGGTTTGTTCAGCTCTTGTCTCACAGGCACATAAGATCTAGAGTTGAAAGGGACCTCAGAGGTCATTGAGTTCAACCTTTTCACTTTGCAGATGAGGAACATGAGGCCCCAGAAATATAAAGTGCCCAAAGTCACCTAGGTAGTAAGCATCAAAAGTGAGATGTAACCTCTGTCTCCGTTCTCTGGAGTATTCTGTGTGGTTCAGGGTGCCATATTTTGGGGAGGACAGGGGTGGGTGAGCCCCCTGAATGAGGCACAGACAGAGGAAAAAGAAAGAAGAGACCTGCTTCCTTGGGCCCAGGAGGCTCAGGAAAAGCTCTTGCTTTCTTGGACCCAGGAGAGGAGAAAGAAAACAAGACTTTTGGAGAGAGACTGAAGGCTTTTCATGTTGGGAACGGGCTGCACAGTGAGTGGGGGTCTGAACACTCTCTGAGACTTGCTTCTTGCACAAGTCGCAGCCAAGATTTCCTCTAGATCCCAGGCAAGTCTGGTCCCTAAGCCTTCCTTGTGCCAGGAGGTCACTACGATCTTTGCCCTTAAGGCTGCTGATGCTGCCAGAGGATACAGGGAGCAAAAGGGGTTGGAGAGGTGTTTCCAAAGCTGGAGGCCTCAGGAAGGACTATGGATCAAAGCTCTGCTAGAAGAGACCTTGGAATTCATCTAGTCTAATCCTCCAACTGTACAGATGAGGAGACTGAGGCACGGAGGTTTAAGTGATTGTCTCGAGGTCAAACAAGTAACAAGTGAGTTTCTATGTCCTTGGTCTAGGGCGATGGAAGGGGCCTGGGCTAGGATGCAGCTTGAACCTAGTTCTTCTTAAGTGGGGCAAACACCTGTGTACATGAACCTTCTGACTAATGCCCAGTGAGGAAAGATCACAGAATCTCATGGCTGGAAAGGACCTTAGAGGTCATCTAGACCGAATTTAACAAGAGCAAGAAGCCTCTTTCCAACATCCCCTACAGCCTTTGCTTGAAGACCTCTGGTGAGAGGAAAGGAACCCACAACCACACAAGGCAACCACTTTGTATCTAATTTCCACAGAGGTTTTCTTTAGATCCACTAACTGCTCCTTATCCTACCCATGAGGGTTAGGCAGAACAAATCTAATCCTCTTTCCAGGGAGAGCTTTTTCTTTTGTTTTTCTTTTTCTTTTTTTAATTTTTTTTTCCATATGCTTTTGAGTTGAAAATTTTTCTCCCTTTTTCTTCCCCCCCCACCCTCCCCAAGACGGCGCATAATCTGACATAGGCTTTACATTTACATACCCATTAAACATATTTTCACATTAGTGAAGTTGTAAGTAAAAATTAAAACCAATAGGAGGAACCATCAGAAAGATGAAATGAAACACAACAGAAGGTAAAAATAAGTGATAGCGATTTGACTTCCATAGTTCTTTCTTTGGATGTGGACAGCATTTTCCATCCCGAGGCCTCTAGAGATGTCTCAGATGCTCCTAATGCTGAGAAGGGTTCAGTTTAGCATTCTTAGTCATTGCATAACGTGGCTGCTATTGTGTACAAAGTCCTCTTGGTTCTGCTCACTTCACTCAGCATCAGACCATATAAGTCTTCAAAGGTTTTTCTGAAGTCAGCCTGTTCATCATTTCCAGGGAGAGCTTTTTCAAAAACCCTGCCTCTCTCCCACCAGGTTTCTTTTCTCCAGGGTAAAGATCACTACTTCCTCCACCAGTCATGATACGACATGAACTCAACGCCCATCACCATCCCAGTCACCTTCCTCGGATATTCCTCAGTTGGCCAGCTTCCTACAATGTGGTACCTAGAACTGAACCCGATACTCCTGAAGTGGCCTAGGCAGAGCAAAGCCCAGGAGATTGATCTCCTGTTTATTTTTGGAAGTGATGCCTCTCCTATTTCAGCCTAAATCATATTTGTTTCTTTAGACATTCCCATTGTTCCTGCATGAGGAATTTGCAATCCCAATAAAAGTCCAAGCTCTCTTCACACAAACTGCTGCTGCTTTTTTCAAATCGATTTTTTTTAAAAAAAAAAACTTGAATGCATGACTTTACATTTATACTTCCTTTAAATTTTATCTTAATCAATTCAGCCCATCCTGTCTCTGTCATCTACTGGGTTGGCTATGCTTTCCAGCTTTGTATCTTTTGCAAATTTGATGAGGAATGCTCTCTATGACTTTAAGTAGCTAATAAAAATGTTAAATAGCACAGGGCCAAGCTCAGATTCCTGGCAATTCCACTGGAGATCTGCTTCCAAGCTGACACTGAACCACTGACCCTCTTTGGGCCTGGTTAACTTTTGAATCTGACCACCTATATGATCATCTATGGGCAGCTATGGACGATGGATAGACTACTGAGCCTGGAACCAGGAAGACTTGAGTTCAAATCTGGCCTCCTAGCTGTGCAACCCTGTGCAAGTCACTTAACCCTGTTTGCCTCAATTTCCTCATCTGTAAAATTGCTAGAGAAAGTAAATGCAAAGTGCTCCAGTATGTTTGCCAAGAAAACCCCCAAATAGGGGTCACAAACACAAAGAGTAGGTCACAACTGAAAAATGACTGAATAACAAAAATATGATTATCTAGACATCTCTCTGTCTTGCCTAAAGGATAGCATGGGGCTCTTCATCAAATGCTTTTCTAATATCTGGGTAAAGTATATCCACAGCCCTTCTCTGACCTACCAGGTTAGTAACCCTGTCAAAGATGGAAATAAAGTTAGTGTGGCATAACCAATTCCTTTTTTTGGCTAGGCAATGGGGTTAAGTGACTTGCCCAGGGTCACATAGCTAGTAAGTGTCAAGTGTCTGAGGCTGGATTTGAACTCAGGTCCTCCTGACTCCAGGGCCAGTGCTCTATTCATTGCACCTCCTAGCTGCCCCAGCATGACCCATTCTTCATAAAGCCATGCTAGCTCTTTCTGCTCACTGCTTCCTTTTCTAAACTATGACTAACCATACCTTTTAACATTGTGTTCTAGAATTTTGCCAGGAATTAAAGGTAGGTTCAGTAGCCTGTAGTTTGCAGGCTCCATTCTCTTTTTTAAGAAATAGTGGGGACATTTGCTTTTCTTTAATCCTGTGGTACAGCTCCCATCCTCCATGATTCTTGTCTTGTTTTTCTTCACCATCTTTCAAAGATTGCAGACAGTAGCTCATCAATTACGTCGAGTTCTTTTGGGATCCTAGAATATAGTTTTCTGATGACTGGAATGGCAATTAGGCACTCTCTTGCTACCTGCCTGCTTATCTTGGCTACCAATTCCTTTTTAGCCATTTTGTCCTGTCCTATCGAGACCAAGATCATTCCCTTGGCAAGGAAAAAAGGGGAACAAAACCGAAGTTGAGGTGCTATGCTGTCTCTCTGTTGTCTGTTATGCTCGTCTCATCTACTCCAAACAGTGGTCCTTTCCCTTCTTTAGCCTCCTCTTCTTCTCAAAAATATCTACCAATTCTTGTTGTTGCTCTTAGCTTGCCTTGGCAGTCTCGATGCATTTAGAGATTTAGCACCTCTGACACTATTCGTATAAGATCACACTGTGGGATTTTTTATTTTTGCATTCATCCTCCATTACCTATCCATGTTTCCATCTTCCCTAAATTTCTTCTTGAAAAATTCTAGTTGATTGTTGTATATCCCTGTGTATCTGAATTGTTCTTTCCATTTTGTGCTTTATCATTGTTTGTTCAGATTTCATTCTTGACAGCTTGCTACTCCTCCTGAGCTGGCTCCCCCCACCCCCAGATTTTTAGGCCATGAGAGTCAACCTTTCCTTCCTCTGAACCCTTTGAAATCTGCCATCCTAAAGGTAGAGTGCATGTCACACTATTCCTAGTTCTCTCCACAAGCACAAATCCTAAGATGGAATGATTACCTCCCCTCAAGGTTGCCATCATTCCCATCCTAGCATCTAATTCCTCCTTCTTTGTGAGAATAACATACAGAATAGTGGATTCCTCTCAATGATTCTTCTACCTTTTGAAAGATAAGAGGACCATGAAGGCAAATAAAGAAATTATTAGCTGTTATGCTAGGGACAAAGAGAGCTGCAGTGGACGTCTGTATGATTGAAGCCCCCATATTATACTATGTCTCTGTACTGGGCATATAATCTATTTGTTTCTAAATCTCTTTGTCTATTTTCTCATTCTGCTCAAGTAGCACACTGTGATGATATTTCTGTTTCTGTCTTCATTGGCCTTCACCCAAAAGCTCTCCACCATGCTTCTCCCCTTTGGTTCCTGGGTTTCCTAATGACAGCTCAGCTGTGATTGCTGCCAAATGCAGCATAGAAAATACTTAAGTCATAGAGGAAAGGCCAATAGCAATGGAGCTGTGGCCCCAGCTAAAGAGTTGCAGGCTTGTGATGGCCTCTAAAAGTCTTGAGTAAGGCATGAAGAGACATTCTTCTAGGTAATGGAAGTAAGGAACATTAGATATCATTTTCTCAGCCATAGACCTTCTTTTATAATGACCAGATATGTCCTATATTCAACAAATATTCGCTATCTATAGCTTGCAGAGGGCTGTACTTAGAAATACAAAGTACAAAGTTTGGATAAGACAAAAGCATCATGGAGCTCACAGTCTAGTAAGAGAATGAGACAGAGACACAGAGGATTCTTAATACTCTATTACATGATAGGAGAGGTGCTGTGTGAAGACCCAAGGGAATGGTTGTTATGACCTGGGGCTGTTGGTCCAGTGGAGGGGAATCAGAGAAAGCTTCCTGGAGGATGTGGTATTTGAGGGGGAGTTTAAAGTCTGGCAGGAATTCAGCAAGTGAAGAAGGGGCATGAGGACATGCTACATCTAGGGATCAGCATTAACAAAGGCACAGAGGAGGGAGAGAACATGTCATGTTTGGGTGAGTCAGAGAGTCAACTAGTTTGGCTGGAGTGCGGAGTGACTAGTGGTGAGTAATAGAGAACACTGAAAAGGGTGAGTGGTGTTAGAGTATTGTGAAAGGCCTTGAATGCCATACAAGAACACTTGAACTTTACTCAATGGGAAACCACCAGAGTTTGAAGCAGAGGAGAAACATGAGCAAATCTGCACATAAGGATCTTATTAATGTCCTGTCTCTGAGCTAACATATGCCCTCTTCTCTTCCTTTTCTTTCCTCTTAAGACATCCATAAGTGATAAGAGCCAAAGATTAGTCAATAAGAAACTTGGATGGGGCTGGGGTGGGGGGGGGTAGACACAGCAACCTACCTTGTCCCGGATGTCTCTGTGCAGTGCTTGGTACTCCAGTAGGGTCAGGGTTGCTAAGGTTGTGGTTGATAATCCTGAAGTCAATCTGGTATTCCCCTTCTCCAGGGGTCCTCTGGGATGAATAGCCTAGAGTTAGAGTAGAGGGAGGAACCAGTCATCAGACTCAGAGCACGAATGGGCTTTAGTCAAACCTCATTTTACAGACAATGAATACTTTCCCAGATCATGCTCCCAGTGTCAGAGTTAGGATCTGTACTTGGGGCCTCTAATTCCAAATCTAGCACTCTCCCTTTTGGCATGCTTTCTTCAGGAAGTTGTGGCCAGAAATAGGGACCCCACAATAATACACTGGCAACCTGGGATTGAAGAGTGGATCCTAAGCCAGCCTTGTTGGAAATCAACATCAGAGATGAAGGGCTGGGGACAGGAGTGAGCCTGCCCTGCCCACCCACTCATTATTTTTATTGTTTTGTTTTAAAAGTCTGTTCAAGTTTTCTTAATGCCTTTTTGTTCTTATGTTATATTCATTTCCGAATATAGCCTTCCCCTCCCTTACCCTGAGAGTCTCCTTTGTAATAAAGTACTTTTTAAAATCAGTTTAGCAAAACCAACTGACACTGTGACCTCCTCTGACAGCGTATTCAACGTTGCCCACTCGCACTCCCCCATCTCAACTCTTCTCTGGGCCAAGGCTTGATCATTCTGATTTGACAGAGCTGAGTTTGGGGGTTTTTGTCCTTTCCATTTACATTGCTGCAGCCATTGTCCATGTTGCTTTTCTAGCTCAGCTTACTTCACTCTACATCTGTTTTATACATCTTTCCATGTGTCTCTGAGTTCTTCATATTGATCATAACCTACTCACCACCTCCCCATCTTACCAGCAAGTATCCTTCAGCAGATTCCAAGAGAGTGAGTATTGCATGTGGGAGGGGAGGTGTTTTTGTTTGTTGGGGGAAGGGGAGATACAAGTCTAGGGGAGCAGCAGCCCCAGCCGGTCTTGGAGCATCAGTTTCCCTCGCCTTTGAGAAGTGGGGACACTTTTGCTTAAGAAAAGCCGTCATCCCCAAATATCTGCACAGCAAAGATGGGTCTTTAAAAATTAAACCAAATTTAGATTAATTTGGATTTGAACATTTCCCTGTGGCTACAGGGGTGGGAAATGGAGATATGCCTGAGGGTGTCTCCTAATCAGAGCTTGGATTCACTTCAGCTTGCTGACTCATGCTCCAGCTGATAGCATCATAGAATCTCAGAGTCATCTAGCCTGAGCCCTCCTGAAGCAATAATCCTGACACTAGTCTATAACAAGGGGTCACAGGGGAAGGGGGAGTTGGAGGAAGGGAAGAAACTCCAAAGCGACAAGAACAAAAAACTTACACTGAGTGAAAACTACCCAAACGTTGTCACTGGAATAAGAGTGACTGCTCACTGTTGAGTCAGAGGCTGTCTTTTTCCAATGTATAAGGATCCAGCTTAGTGAGGCCATGAGTCTGGTTGCTCAGTTCCATGTAAATCCTCTCTCTGTTGAACACTGGGCTGGTGTGGCCTTTCTGCCAGACACATAAAGCGTCCACTCTACTTGCTAGTCCATCCATTGAAAGTCTGTGAAGAGAGACACTGAATGTGACATTGTGCTGATGCAGGTGTCGTGAAAGTTGACAGGAATCCTACCTTCTGGGGAAAGGGAAGTTGCAGCGCATGACTGTGTGTTTCCTGGGGGTACTGTGTCACAAAGACTAGAGAAGATGGGACGATGTGCCTGAGGCAATTTAGAATAAGTAACACTAATTAGGATGACTGGCAAACTTCCACTAGCTAGAAGGGCAGGTGTGTGGAACTGCCACAGGTACCCAATGGAGAAAAACTATCTTGGCAAGAGGAAACTCGTTCTACATAGTGACTTAGAAGGGAAATCATGTTCCTGAAAACCTGGAGCAGTGGATAGGGATTAAAGCACTTTGGGAATTAGACAATCAGGGTACTAGAGCCCAAGTAGAGGCATAGAGGGAAGTAACTTTTATTGGAAGTCTAGTATGAGACCAAGGCATATCTTGAGGGGCTCAGGGGAAAAATCCCCAACTATCAGCCTCTAGGGCCTTACCTCAGAGAGATCAGTCCACATCCAGTGTAATATAAGCCAATGCTGCTATTCCTGAACAAGGGGCCCACCTGACAAAGGAAGATGATTAGAGAATACTCAGATAAATAAGGGATGGCTAAGGTATGAAGGTATGGAGTAGGAAGTACAAAATCTCACCAATCTCTGGAGGACCCCTTCTGTGTCGTTAAATGTGGTAGTACCTGGGTGTCCCATATCTGCAGTGTAGCGTAGATTAGTGATGGTGAAGTTCAAAGTAAAATGTTGCAGTCTGGGGTCACTGGCTGCAAGAAAAGAGGGAGAAAATGACCCTATCTGTGCTTTGGAAGGCTCAGGGGATAGGGATGTCCCTCATGAGAGGGGACAGGGATGTTTCTAGCCCTGGCCTTCATTGCCAAAGTTTGTCTGGCCAGGGCCTTGTCCCCAGGGTACCACTGGCTTTCATCTTCCTTGCCTTTTGAGTGAGAAACAAGACAGTAAGTTCCCACAAGATGGTTCTGGTGAGGTACCCAGATCAACAGCCTGAAAGTTAACTCTTTTCTGGCCTGTGTGATCTGGGACTCCAGATGGGTATCACACACCGAGTCCTATATTTCCTTGCCCTGGCTTTGCAGATTAATGATGGAGGTTTGGAAAGACCTAGGGTTGGTCTGTCTTTTAGACAGCACATTCTGTTCTTTGCATAAGGGCATGACTAGGCGAGTACTCTCCAGGGTACTGAAGCTTCCATTTTCTTACCTGTCCAGTATCCAGGTCCTGTGGGTCCCAGAGGGATTGCAGGTGGTGGTATGGTGGTTAGGCCAGGAGCTGCAGAAAAGAACATCATTAGATATAGACCTAGACTGTGGTTACAGAGGAATGAAACTGAGGTCATTCGGGCAATGGCACAGGATGTCACAAACAGATGGCGCTAAATAAATGCTTGCTTAATGGAGGACTGAATAAATGGTGTGTGTGTGTGTGTGTGTGTTTGTGTGTGTGTGTGTGTGTGTGTGTGTCTTGAAGCTGAAGGTCATCAGCTGAGGTATATTCTCAGTCACTTCATTCATAAGGGAAATGGAATTCAGGACTACTGGCCATCACATGAAGTGAATTTCCACCACATACTGCTCTTTTCCATACAGTTCAAGTTCACCTGACCCCTATCCCTGACCTCTCTGTGGGTAAGTATGAAAAGTAATCAGCAACCAACCTCTGACAGGGGAATCAGGAAACCAATGGCCATGCATCTAATATTGGGAAGGGATCGAAAGACCCAGTGGTATGGGGTTTCTTCCTCATAGAATCTGAGCCCTCTGATAGAGGAATCGAGAAACCCATGGCCATGCATCTGTACTGGGAAGGGATGAAAGGACCCAGAAATCTGGGTTTCTTCCTCACAGAATCTAAAGTTTCTTCGAGAAAAAAAGTCATCCTGCCTCTTTGATAAAATTCAGTGACGAGGAACTGACTACTTTCTGAGGCAGCCTGCTCTTCTTTGGGGACACATTTCTCATAACACTTGAGTGAGTTGTAGGGATTTTTTTAAAGCAAAAGATGCTGTTGCACACAGTATCTCCTTGGGGCCAAAGCCCATTTGTCAAGAGGTGCATGTGGTTAAGGTTTCACAGATGGCCCAGGACTCAAAGGGGATTTGGTTGATAAAAAACACTTACTGGTACCCAGTTGGGACAGATTTTGTTCGTTGTAACTTGGAAACCAAAGGATGAACAATGAAACATGGAAGCAAAGGATAAAAGAAGAAAATTCAAGTCAATTCAACACGTATCTACACCATGTACTGCACTGGGCTAGGTAGTGAGGCTACAGTGACACAATTTAAAAGTTCCTGCCCTCAAGGAACTTATATCTTATTAGGAAAAGGAAGAGAGCATCCATGAGGTTCAAAGGGACAACTGAGGTGAGGAACCAGTTTGTTCTGCCTGAGCACTTGTGGGGAGAGGGCTATGTGCTTAAGGAAGTCTCCTGTCCACCCCCTAAGTCTCTGACTTGAATATTCCTGGTAGAAAAAAAAGAGTAAATTTGTGGCTTGAGGGAATTCAGGGTGGGGAAAATAGAAATGAGGTATCTGAATCAACTCACTTTTGCTTTTCCCTTTCCTATGGAAACAGAGGAAGGTAAACCCTTTCAGTGTTTGTCCTAGAAGTCCCCACATTCCCCTCCCCAGCCTCCTGGCCTACAGGTAGGCTTAGATACACCAAGAACAAAGCTAAGATGAGCTAGATCCAGAATCCTTCATATCTTCTTTTCTTGAACTCTCTGAAGTGCAAAGGGTGTCGAGGCCTCTCTAGTCCAATCTGGAGCTGGAGCAATAATCCCCCAGGCAGCAATCCTAACAAGTGTGCAAGAGCAATTGGCATGAATGTCAAAGGACTGATGACTTGGCTTCTTGCAACAATGGAGAAGCAGGGAGAATTTTTATAGTGACCTGCACAGAATATATGATGTTCAACATTTTGTTTTGGCCAACTGACAGCTATTTCTGCTCAAAAGTACAGGTTAAAGCAGCCCCAGATCTCATCAGAACAATCTGTTAGTGGCTAAGAAATGGAGTGATTGATCCATGGAATAGATTAGGCATGGAATACACAATAGTGAACAACATAACCTAGTGTTTGCTAAACCCCAAAATCCATGCTATTGGGGCAAGAACTCATTATTCAACAAAAACTGCTGGGAAAACTGAAAAGCAGTCTGACAGAAATTAGGCATAGACCAACATCTCACACCATATACCAAGATAAAGTCAAAATGGGTACATAATGTAGACATAGAAGGGATATCATAAGTAAATTAGGGGATCATGGAAAAAAATTATCTGTTAGATCTATAAATGAAAGAAGAATTCATAACCAAATAAGAATTAAAGAGGATGATGGGAGACAAAACAGATAATATTGATTACATTAAATTAAAAAGGTTTTGCAAAAAAAAATGCAGCCAAAATTAGAAGGAAATGAGGAAACTGGGAGAAAATTTTACCACAAATTTCTCCGATTAAAAAAAAACCCACTGAACTGTATATTAAAATAAGAGCCACTGGGGGCAGTTAGGTGGCACAGCAGATAGAGCACTGGCCCTGGAGTTAGGAGGACCTAAGTTCAAATCCAGCCTCAGACACATAACACTTACTAGTTGTGTGACTCTAGGCAAGTCACTTAACCCCAACTGCCTCATCGAAAGAAAAAAAAATAAGAGCCATTTTCCAAAATTAATAAACAGTCAATACATATGGACAGGCAGTTTTCAAAAGAAAAAATTAAAACTATTAATAGTCCTGAAAAAATGCTCTAAATCAGTAATAATTAGAGAAATTCAAATTAAAACACTTCTGAGATATCACCTCACATCCATCAGTTTGGCTAACATGAAAGAAAAGGAAGATGACAAATGCTGGGGGACAAGGAAAAATAGGTACATTAATGTACTGTTGGCAGAGTTGTGAATTGGTCCAACCATTATGGAGAATAATTTGTAATTATGCCGAAGGGATATGAAACCACATATCCTTTGGTTCAGAAATACCACTACTAGGTCTGTATCTCAAAGAGATCAAAGAAAAGGGAAAAGAATGCATAGAAATATATATAAAGATATTTCTAGCGACTCTTTTTATGGTGGGAAAGAATTGGAAATTGAGGGAATTCCCCCATCAATTGGGGAATGGCTGAAAAAGTTGTGGTATATAAGTATGATAGAATACTATTGTGCTATAAGAAATGATAAGCAGAATGGTTCCACAAAAAACGTGGAAAGACTTACATGATCTGATGGAAAATGAAGTGAGCAGAACTAGGAGAACATTGTACACAGTAACAGCAGTATTGTACAATGCTCAACTGTGAATGACTTAATGATTCTCAGCAATACAATGATCTAAGTTTCTGAGACAGCTCCCAAGGACTTATGATGAAAAATGCTATCCACCTCCAGAGAAAGAACTGATGCAGTCTGAATGCAGATTGAAGCACATTTTTTTCTACTTTCATTATTTTTCATTGGGGGTTTTATGGTCTGTTTTCATTTACAACATGACTAATATGGAAATACGTTTTGTATGACTGTACATGCATAACTTATATCAAATTGATTGCTTTCTCAATGAGAGGAAGGAGGGAGGGAGAGAATTTTGAACTCAATTTTTTACGTTAAAAATTTTTTTTACATGTAATTTGAAAAAGTAAAATATTTTTAAAAGAAATCAAAAAAGGTCCCATTATATTCCAAAATATTTAAACTATTGCTTTTTGTGGTAGCAAAGAACTAGAAACAAGGTAGATGATTATTGATTGGGAAATGGCTAAATTATGGTACATGAATATAATGGAATATTACTGCACCATAAGAGACCATGAATAGAGAGAATTCTGAGAAGCATGGGGGAAGATTTAAATCACCTGATGCAGATTAAAGTTAACAGAACTCAGAAAACTATGTATAATATATACATATATGTAACATGTATTATGATAATCTAAATGGAAAGAAACCCCATAACTGAATAATACCCATGAATAGCATTTATTCTGTGCTTTAAGGTTTGCAAAGAGCTTTATATGTTTTAACTATCTAATTATAATAACAAAGCTCAGCCCTGGAGAAATTGAGAAAATACATCTGCCTCTTTTTGTAGAAGTGGGATACTATGAGTACAGAATACTATCAGACATGATTTTGCACAATTGATTTTTTCTTCTTTAAAAACTTTGCTTCTAAAGCAAAGATTTTGGAAGAGAGAGGAAGATTTGAGAAGTGAGTCGCTGGTTAAGAAGCTAGAATGAGGCCATTTTTGAACTCATCTTCCTGACTCCAGGCCTGGTTCTTTATTCACTATACTACCTAGCTGCCCCTAAAAGAGCCTTAAACTGAAAAGGAAGGGAGACTATTGCATATACTTGTTAAGATGGATATTGTAAAGAATAGCCACAATTTTGGAAAAAGAATAGCAGTAGCAATACACAGAAATTCATAGGAGTCCAAAATATTGGAAAAGAACCTGGAATAAAGTCTGTGGCCGCAGATATGTATACACAAATGAATAAGCCAGGGGAACAAGAGAGCTTACTTCATTTTGTTTTTGTTTTTTTTGGCTAGGCAATGGGGTTAAGTGACTTGCCCAGAGTCACACAGCTAGTAAGTGTTATGTGTCTGAGGCTGGATTTGAACTCCAGTCCTCCTGAATCAAGGACCGGTGCTCTATCCACTGCGCCACCTAGCTACCCCAAGAGAGCTTACTTTAATGCAAGGAGGCACATGTGACTTCATAAATATCACTGAGATTTGATGAGATGGGACACATAATGGGAACATGATTTTGAAAGGTAGATCTTCTTCAAAAGGAATAGGCAGATGATGTAAAGTATCAGTATATATTAAGAATGGCAAATTCTTGAGTAAGTGCAGGAATCAGGTGGGGGAAGCATGAAGGAGAATATTTATATGAATACGAATGGAGGTAGAAAAAGAATCAATACCACCACTGGAGTATATCACACATCACCTAACTTTATCTCTTTGCAACTTTACCTGCTGGTCCCATTTCTGTCCTTTGAAGTCAGACAGAAAAAAATCAAGTTCTTAATGACTTATAGGCAATTAACATGATGCCTTAGGAAGACTTTAAGGTATTCTTCACCTGCCCAGTTCTTTCAACTAATCATGGTGGAGTCCTATAAAAATACTTCCTAGAGTAATGTGCAGCTGAGAGGCGGCTCACTGGATAGAGTACTGGGCCCTTGATTCTGGAAGGTATGAGTTCAAATCTGTTCTCAGATACTTACAAGCTGTTTGGGCCTGGACAAGTCACTTAACCCATGTCTGCCTTATTTTTTTCAACTGTAAAATGAAGATAAAACTTACCTCACAGGGTTGTTGTGAGGGTAAAATGAGATGATCTTTGTAAAGACTTTAGCACAGCACCTGGGACATAGTAGGTGCTTACTAAAGGGTTGTTCCCATCCTACCCCTTTCCTTTGGGACAGCTCTAATATTTCATGTCATTAGTCTTGGACCATCATATCAGTGTGCTGATTTATTTCTGGATCTTGATTCTGTCCAACATATCAGCTGCTGTCATCTAGTCATTTGCTGCCATTTATATCTCCATCTAGGTAACTAAGTGGCGCCGTGGTGCATAGAGTGCCAGGCCTGGGGTCTGGAAGACTCATCTTTCCTGAGTTCAAATCTAGCCTCAGACACTCGCTGTGCGACCCAGGGCAAGTCACTTAACCCTGTTTGTCTCTGTTTCTCATCTATAAAATGAGTTGGAGAAGAAAATGGCAAACCACTCCAGCATCTTTGCCAAGAAAACCCCAAATGGGGTCATGAAGAATAGGACATGACTGAAACCTAAAATGATTGAACAACATCATCTCCATTTAAGTCACTGCTAAACATGTTGATCAGCACAGGACCAAAGAAAGAATTTTGTCGTAGCCATTAGGTGACAGCCAACTAGAGCCTATGAGGGATAGGATCCCTTGTGAAGTAGTGTGGGTAGACTCGGTCTTGTGCAGTTGGACTAAGAAGGGATGAACAAGAAGGAAGGCATCTGGGTGTGCACAGCATCTGAAACTCAACAGGAAGGATAGGAGAAAAATGCTAATTCTGGGACTATGACAGGAGACAAGGTAGAAAATGAGCACTGATCCAAAGTGTTGCTCTTTCAAATTTCCCTGTTTCCATCAAAGGAACCACCATCCTTCCATTCTCCAGGTTTGTAACTTCTGCATTATCCTGGCCTCCTCCACTTTCCTTGCCCCACATCAGTTTCCAAGTCTTCTGTTTTCTACTTTCGTGATTTTCAACTAACCTCATCCCTCTAGTCACACAACGGCCACCATCGTTCATGCCCTCTCACTTAGATTATTGCAAAGGCCTCCTAATTGGTCTCACTTCCTTGGGTTTCTCCCTAATTCAGTCCATTGTATTCTCTGCTGCTAAAGGAATTTTTTTTAAACCTAGATCTGACCATGCTCAGTCAACTGCAGTGACACTCCCAATTGCCTATTTTATTCTCTGGGACTAGCACTGTTTAGCTTTTAGAGCTCTTTCTAATTTGGCTCCAACCTCTCTTTCCACCCCCTCTTGTAGCCTGCAATCTTGCCAAGCTACTTTCTTTCTTTTCCTCATACAACATTCCATCTCCTGTCTTCATGTCTTTCCTCTGGACATCCTCCAGGCCTGGAATATATTCCCTCCTTACCTCTACTTTAGAGTCCCTCCTTTCATTTAAGACCCAGCTCAATCACCATCTTTTGCATGAGGTCTTTCCTGAATACCACTGCTAGAGCTTTCCCTCCCAAACTATTTTCTATATATTTGCATGTATTAACTTTATATTTAAGCTGCATGTTTACATATGTCCCTGTTCTCTCCCACTGGAATGTAAGCTTCTCATAAGTAGGAATTATTTCCTTTTTTGTGTTTGTATCCCCAGGTCCTAGCACTGTATCTGGCACATAGCAGTTGCTTAATGATTACTGTTTATTGATTGGTTAGTCACCATTGAGGTAGAGACTGTTCTTATCCAGGGTGTATGGGCCCAGCCTGCTGATGCCACGTGTCTGGTTGCTCACTTCCTAGTAGACTGTCTCTCTGTCTGGAATTGATTTAGTAGGGTCTCTCCAATGAGTGCACACGGCATCCACAGCTGTTGCTAAGCCATCTTTCTTTGGTCTAGGAAAAGACACATTGATAAGAGACATAGTACTAGGTTGGTGCTGGAGAGCCTGATGGGGGGACCACCCAGTGCATGGAGGGTGAAATTGATTTACCTGAGTTTTTGTGAAAATGGTTGATGATTGTGTGGGTAGGAGTGTTGAGCAGCTAATAAGCTCACAAAATAAAAACCTATTTATAATAGAGATCTTGTTCTAAGGAGTTACTGAGAAGGGAAATCACATTTCTGATAAACCATGCACAAAAGGTACAGGGATAAAGCAATCTGGGAATTTGAAAATAGAGCTCAAGACACTTGAATGTGAAGAAGCCACCTCAGTGGAGAGCCCAGGGGGTTTTATGTGCCCCTGAGGGGTCAAGGGACACATTCCAATTCTCATTCTATAGCCTCTGGAGTCTCACCTCAGGGAGGCCACTTTGCACCCGGTGTAGAAGTTGCCAATGCTGCTTCTCTTGAACAAGCAACTGAGCTGGAAAAGAAAAGAGGAGGTCAATGTGCTCAGTACTAGGCAGGTAAGAAGCCCAGGAAAGGGAAAGGCACAGCTGTACAGGTGGGACCTGGGGCGGGAATTGGGGAGGCTCACCAGGTTCTGCAGGATTATCTCTGTTCGGTTGAATTTGATGGACCCAGGGCGCCCCATGTCTTCTGTGTACATTAGGTTAGTGAGGGTGAAGTTCAGTGTGAAGGACTCCAGGCTCTGGCCATCAGCTGTAATAGAAGAGGGAGAGAAATTTCATATTGGAGCCTGTAGAACACCAGTGGGCATAAGTGGGGATAGCCTGTGGATTCTGTCTTTATTCCTTTCTGGGAGGAAAATTCTGCCTCCTGGCCCCACTGATGCCCTTTGTTAGGGGACCTCTCCCCTTCCCTAATTCCCCTTTTCCTGGCTTCCCAACCCCTCATTTCTTCTCTAAAGACAGCAAGACACTCCAGGAAATGAATCAGAGATGCAGGTGCTCTCTACCTGTAGTGCTGGAGAATGATAGTGGAGCCAGAGAATGGAGCCATGATGGCTCATGTGTGGTCTGCACAGGAGCTGATGGAAAAAAGAAACCCTGATGAATAAAAAGCATTGCCAAGATCAGAATGTGATTGGCATAGGCAAGGCACATGACAACAGGGTGAAAGGCAGTGCCACTGGGTGGGAGCTCAACCCAGAGAAGTGGAAGGTGAGAGTCAAGCACTGTAGGAGGGAACAGGGCCTGGGGAGAAAAGTCTTTGTTACTGAAGACTGTCAGGTTTGGGGCTTCCTGCCTGAGATGTTCTGGGCTGCTACTTTCTTCACCTTTAGAGAGGGATACAAGGTCTCATGACAAGTTCCCAAAGATATTGTTCTGACTAGATGTTCTCTTAACTCTTTACTTCTACCTCACCGAGTCCTTAGCCTCTTTCAAAACATAGCCCTGAGGCCTTCCCAAACTTAGTTTGTTCTCTCTCTTCTTCTATCCCCTTGAAATACCTTTGTTTTCACTCTGTCTGTATTTCATACATATTTAATCTGTTTGCCTGTAGAGAGAACGAGTTGCTGGAGAGCTCAACTTCTTTCTTTCTTTCCTTGGCTTTGAATCCTGAGTGCCCAGAACAGTGCCTGGCACATAGCAGATGATGAATAATGCTTCCTAGGCTGAACTGAATTAACTGACAGAGAATAAAATTCTGCTCAGTCCCCGTGACACAGGACTGCAAGATAACATGACAAGTCACATGGCCCTAGCTTCCATTGCCCCTGCCTTGACAGGTGAATATGTCTCTGAACAATTAGAAAATTTAAAAGTCCTAGCAGTTGTTTACTCTCGTTGGGTTGTGCCAGGGCAATGATGTTGGGGAGGGGTGGTAGCAATCACTCTCCAAGGTGCTGAAGAGGCCGCAGTCCTACCTGTGGAGGTTCCCTTTCGTGTGGAGCCATGGAGAGTTGCAAATGTTGACGCATTGTCTAACCCAGAAATTGCAGAAAGAAGTGTCATTAGAGACGGTCGGACTGTGGCTACTCACTGATGGAGAACTCATCAAGGCTGTAGTCATCAGAGCACCAACATAGCACTCCCTCAGCCTCCATTTAGGGGAATGAGGGCTTTAATAATCATTCAATAAATGAGTCACTGTGCCATTCTGGCTACACTGGCGGCTAGCTTAGGGACTAGTAAGTAGAAATCAAGGCTCCCCTCTCACCACTTTCTCACAGAGCTGAGGTTCACCTGTGGACTTATGAATCCCCGCCACCTGTTCTCCAGTGTCCTTGTGGGAACAGCTTGGCGAGTCACCACCAGTCAAATTCTGACCGAGAAATTGGGGGATCTTATAGGGTGAGCCCATAGCTCCAAGTCAGGAAAGGTGGGAACAATCTAGGGTGCCTTTCCTCCTCTTTGAGGAGAGGGAGGCACCTTCTTCTCACAGAATCTCAGAGCTTAAAAGGCCCTCAAAGGCCATCTTGTTAAAAAAAATTCACTCTGCAATGTCCCTGACAAACAGCCATCATATCTGTGCTCAAAACCTTCAGGGATGGGAACTCATTATATATTTCCCCCTCTAGGACTTTTCCTCCCTCAAGATACCTGAATGGGTTTTAAGGGAAGGGACTAGCGAAGCCACAATTGTTTAATATTGTGCAATCAAATCCCAACTTCCAGTGTCATGGGAGAACAAGGATAAGGACCCAAAGGGGACTTAGATGCCCCTTACTTACTGGTAGCAGGCAGGGCTGCATCATGCTCATTATAACCTAGAAACCAAAAGACAGGTGAGTAAGGGCATCACAAGACTCCGGAAGGAAAGTAAGAGAGCTCCCCAGTAACTCAATTTGAGAGGTATGGGCATACTGTGGACTATATGCTTACTTCATGCTTCTAGGGGAGATCTGATCTTTGGGGAAGGGGAGATGAAAATTCTTTTATTTATTTACTCTTGGGGTCTCTGCCATGAAGATTAGAGAAAAGAAAGTATTTGTAATTTTGAGGAAAACTGGGGGGTCATATAGAATTAGTGTTCAAATCAATCCATCCTTGAGCTTCCCTAGTCTTTTGAATCCAAGGGAGCAAATTTTCTGACTTCCTGTCCTGGCTTATCCCCAAGGTTCTTTTCCCAGCCTCTTAACCTGCTGGGAAGCTTCAGGATGCCAAGAATAGAGATAGACTGAAATTGAATGAGAGGTCTCCACAATTTCTCTCCCTAGAAACTTAGGACTGGGAGAACCTACTATATCTCTAGTTCATACCTGAGAAGGAATTCTATACAGCATTACCAGCAAAAGATAATTTAGCTTCTGCTCCTCTGGAATGCACTCCTGCCTTCCCTCTGCCTTTTAGAATCCTTAATTTCCTTTATGACTCAGATTAAATGCCCTTTCTGCATAAAGTCTGTCTAGTACCTTCCCCATGTAAGTTTATAATTATTTTGTGGGTATATATATGTATATACACATTTATGGATATATATGTATATTTATGTATGTGTGTATTATATTTATGCATGTATATGACCTGCCTTTAATACACTGTGTGTCTATATACATATGTACATATGCATATACATGTGTATGGATATATTTTGTTGTTATTCAATTGTTTCAGTTATGTCCAACTCGTCATGACCCCATTTGGGGTTTTCTTGGCAAAGATACTGGAGTGGTTTGCCATTTCTTTCTCCAGCTCATTTGACAGATGAGAAAACTGAATCATACACAGTTAAGTGACTTGCTCAGGATGACACAGCTAGTGAGTGTCTGAGACCAGATTTAAACTCAAGAAGATGAGTCTTCCTGAGTCCAGGCGTGGTGCTCTATCCACTGCACCACCTAGCTGCCCATAGATATGTATATAAGACCTGCCTCTGACATACTATGTGTGGTACTAGATTGGATGCCAGAGAGCCTGATGGGGGAAGGGAACCTCCAAGTTCAGAGAAGGTGAAATTGATTTGCTCGAGTTTTTGTGAAAATGGTATGTGACAGTGGTGTATTGATTGCGTGGGTAGGAGTGTTGAGCAGCTAATAATCCCACAAAATAGAAACCTATTCATATTAGAGATCTTATTCTTTGGAGTAACTGAGAAGGGAAATCATATTTCTGATAAGCTCCATAGCTGCCACTAGGTAATATCAACCAAGAAGGAATGGGACCTTAGGGAAAAAGGTATGAATAGGGTCTTTCTTATGTAGTTGGCTAAACAAAGGAAGAATGAGAAGAAAAGGTTCAAGGGGAGGCGAGGGACTGAATAAATTGAGGACAATAGGAAAAGAGGTTAGTACTAGGATTATACAAAGATGGACTGGGGAGAGACAGGCTGCTCACCATTGACGTAGAGACTGTTCTTATCCAAGATGTAGGGGCCAAGTCTGGTGATTCCATTTCTCAGTTTGCTCAGCTCACAATAAACCCTCTCTCTGTCCAGAAAGAGGACACTGGGTTCTCTCCAGTGGAGGCACACAGCATTCATTCCTGTTGCTTCTTACAGCTGAGAAAGAAAATGTTGATCTAGACCCCTGAGACGGCTACAGAGACATCTAGTGGGTATCGCAGGTATGGGGACAATGAAATTGAGATGTGTGCGTCACTACGGCAAAAGGTGAAAGTGACCCTGGGAAGACTGATGAGCTTCCACATCTACCATGTGGGTAGGACCATTGAGCAATCACAGATCTTCATTAAAGAGAGCCTGACATCAGCGAAGTTGTTCTAAATCATGACTTATAAGGGCAATCTCTGTTCCAAGAATCCAAACCAGAGTGGTAGAAATGAAGCAGTTTGGGGAATCTGAACATGGAAGAAGCATGGGGCGGGGTTGCCTCTGCTGTTTGTTCAGCTTTAACCTGAGCTGTGTGACTGGGAACTGAGAATGCATGCCCTCATCAAAACAACCCTCAGATTATGGGATCTCACCTCAAAGATGTCACTCTGCATTCAGACTAGAGGGAGCCAGTGCTGCTATTCCTGAACAGGAGTTTGAGGTGGTAAAGGAAAGAGAGGGAAATAATAATTAGAGGCAACACTTCTCTAACATTTTAAGGTTTAAAAAGCACTCCACATTTTATCTCATTTGTTCCCTGCAATAGCCCTATGAAGTAGGTGCTATCTGAGAGAAAGCAAGTGACCCGCCCAAGGTCACACATCTTTTAAGTATCTAAGGTGGCATTTGAACTTGGTTCTACCTGACTCAAAGTCGGACACTCTATTAAGACTGAAGCAGCTAGGTGTTCCTGTGGGTAGAGGCTAGAACCTGGAGTCAGGAAGACCTGAGTTCAAATGCAGCCTCAGAAACTTATTAGCTGGGTGGCCCTGGGCAAGTCATTTAACATCTGTCTGCCTCAACTACCTCATCTGTAAAATAGAGGTGATAATAGCACTTACCTCTTAGGGCTATTGTGAGGAGCAAATGAAATGACTTATGTACAATGCTGTGAAAACTTTAAGGTGCTATATAAATACTAGCTATTATCCAACAAACCATGTAGATGCTTCCTAAGGGAAGTAAGCTTCTGTCTCTAAGCAAGGCCTATAGTCTAAGACATGCAGAAGAAAATCTTACAGGTAGAGAATAAAGGATTTGGGTATGTGTGGTAGATTGCGTCTCACCAGGTGCTGCAGCATTTTCTCTGTGGTGCTGAATTTACTGGAACCAGTGTTTTCCACATCTGTTGTGTAGAGCAGGTTGGTGGTGGTGAAGTTCAGTGTGAAAGCTTCCAGGCTGTGGCCAGTGGCTGCAGTGGAGAACAGAAAGAATCCTCCATGTCTGAAGTTTGGGTGCATCAGCACACTCAGAGGCACCCAGCTGTTGAGCTCTCCCTTTCTGGAAGGAACACTCAACATCCCGGTGTCACCAGGGTCCCCATGAGGGTACGTCTCCCATTCCACCCTGCCCTGAGTTCCCCTTTTTCTTCATCTCCAATTTTCAAATTTCATTCCCAATTAGACTTTCCTGGAATGAATAATAGATGCAGATCATTTGTACCTGTGGTGAGGGAAGGAACGAGAGATGCTTCTGGGGTAAATGCAGTTGATGCAGGAGCTGAAAAGTTATTGGGGTGGAAAAGCATCGAAACATCACTGTCTGGGTGCCATTATAAGGGGAATGGGCTATGAACTTCAAAGGGGGAAATGGCTCAATGAGCTTAGCTTGAAATGTTACACTCTCTAGATACGGATTGAGCTATGAGGGGGGAGTTTCAGTCACAGTAAGAGAGAACAGTGATCTGAATGACACACTTCTACTGGGGAAGCTTCCTATATGGGATATCCTGGTCCTTCACTATCCTCAGCTTTCTGGTGGGACAAGTGAACTCATTCCTGGCCCCCACAGAGATTTTTCTGGTTGTTAAATCACCAAAAAATCAAAATCTTGTCCGGTCACTGGGACATGGGACCCAAGATGACACACCCCAAGCCACATCCTGACTTTCCTCCCCTGGCAAATGACTATTTCTTAGAGTGAAGACGTTTTAAAAAACCTGAGACTTTCCCATCTTTTAGGTACTACAGTCTTTCCCCAGCAACTAGTTATGGCCCCGTGGTAGCTCTCCAGGGTACTGAAATCACCCCGTTCCTACCTGAGGAGCCTCCAGGCTTTGTGGGCTCCAGAGAGGTTGCAGATAAGGATGCAGTCCCTGACCCTAGAGCTGTGGAAAGGAATGCCATTAGAAACCATGGTTGGACACTGGAAAGCACAATGAATGTGAATGTGAAGTTGACTGTGGCCACATGTGTATTAGTCCAGGGCCCTGAACCTAAGTGGTGCCTAAAGTGTGTACTCAATAGATGATTGAATGGATGTAATCAAATTTCTCTGATGGCTGCCCTAAAATAGGATCCTGTCACATGATCATCAGATAAGGTGTACTGTGAGTGAATCTTTTATACATATGTAGGGAGAAGGGAAGAGGGAATTCCATACTTCATGGCAACCCATGATGTGAGATCCCCATCTCAATACCTCTTCCAGAGATTTGTAACCTGTTTGTCTTCTCAATCTCCCTATTTGGACAGCTTCACTAGTAATCATTATCTAACCTAAAGGAGAGGAATTCTGGAGTAGGAAGTGATGATTCTGGGTCTCTTAGGCTTTTCCCTTCCAAAATCATTGGACTTAGAGTTGAAGGCACCCTCAGAGGGCACCTATGCCACAGAACATCCCTGACAAGTGGTCACAGAGCATCCATTTGAAGATCTCCAAGTGATGAGGAACTCACTACTTCTACATGTAGCCATTCCACTGCAGGAATACCTTTCTTGTGGTGCCTCAGTGGGCCACAGAGTCAAGTACTATAGTACAAGTCACAACTATTTCATAGAGGCATAATGGGACCTTTATCCAGGGGAACCAGACTCAAGATTCCAATATAATCTAGAACTCAAAGGGAATCCAAATGCTTAAATACTTACCGGGAAAGGGTTGGACTGGAAGGTGTTCATCATAACATGGAAAACAAAGTATTGGATAATGAAGGGAAGGAGCACACTACCCAACCAGAGAAGGAAGAGAGATCATCAGAGAAGCTGAAAGTGGGGAGAACAGCTGAGTCCAGATGACTCAATCTGAGGCCTCCTGGCACCTGGAACATGTGCTGCTTGAAGGGGAAGAGAGGGGAATTTCCCTATGCTCCCCCAGCTCTTTGACATGAGGGCCGGTCCTGGGGACAGAAAAAGGAAACTTACAGCTTGGGGTGGGTTGGCAGAGGGAATTTGGGGTAGAGCCTTCGGGGGCTTGAGCCTAGGTGCTCCAATGAACACACTCTTGCTATGCCTTGGTCTTTGGAAACACAACAGGGAGCAAACACTCTGATTGGCCATCCTGCTTTGGCCCTAGTCTTTCCTCCTCAGTCTTTTGGCTTCTAATAAGTATTCAGCACACTGAGGACAAGGAAAGCCTGGAGTGGAGCCCTTTCTCTCTCAACCTTCCCCTCCCCTGGCCAGGGCCCTGGAACATCAGCTACCTCCTCTATAAAATGAGGGTGATAATAATAACACCTGTCTGCCCAGAGTTGTTTTGAGGATCAAATGGGATAATACTTGTAAAGTACTTCGCAAATTTAAAGTGCTATATTAAATTGATAATAATAATAATTTGCTTTTTAGGAAATTCTTCCTTTATACTTAGAAAAATCTGTTTTCTCAATCTTCCTATTACATGGTATCAAGTTCCCTCCTCATCTTATTCATCCTCTTTTGGGCATGCTTCATCTTGTCAGTGCTCCAAAATGTGGCCCTAAAACTGGACACAATATATCAGATGAGGGGACATTAGGGGACAGCAGAACTATCATATTCCTCCTTCTAGATATGATATATCTCTATGAAGGCTAACATCTCACATGGTTTTAGGACTTCCTCCAATTGAGCTTGCAGTCCACTAAGACCCCCAGGTCTTCTTTGCATGAAATACTTGTCTAGCCATGTCTACTCCATCTTGCATTTATGGGATTAGATTTCTTAAGCTTAACTGAAGAACTTCATGCTTATTTTTAATAAATTTTACCTTGCTAGTCCTTATCAATCATTTGTGTGTACTGAGGTTTTGTTGGACACTGGTCTGTCTAATACATCAGCAAGCTATCCTTTCCAGATTCATTCATTTCTACATTTGACACTATGTCTCAAGCTATGAAAGACAGCATGGTGTAGTGGGTAGTGGGTCAGACATGGAGTCAGGAAGACCTGAACTCAAGTACAGAACTCTGACATACATTAGCTATATCACTATGGGTATCAACCTCAGAATGCTTCAGCCAATTCTATAAGACTTTAGGTCACAGATGAGTTGCCCATCTGCACTGGAAAGAGTTTACTCATTGGGAGCCACTCTCTACTAATAAAAACACAAGTCTGGACTCTGAAAAAAAAAACATCTCCATCAAAGTCAATGCTAAAACTCCTGAACATAACAAAACAATTGAAGCTTAATGCTGCAAAATTGTAATGACCCAAAGAATAGATAGGAGAAGGCACTTTCATCCATTTATTTACAGAAGTGGAAAGCTAGGGATGTGGAACACGATGTATAATGTCTAACTTTTCATTATTTTGGTTAGTTTTGCTAAATTGTTGCCCCTCCCATTCTTTGTTGTAAGAAATGGCTCTCTGGAAGGTGAGAGGATTTATTGAGAAATGTAGGTGATGTAAAAACAAAAGATAAAAAACAAAAGATAATCATGCCAATTTATGTTTAAAAATAAAAGTATTGACTGGGACTGTGAGGCTGCCACAAGTAACAACAAACCAGGACCCATTAGGAACCATTTCCCCAGTTAAGTGCTATGGGGAGAGTTAATCTTGTGCAAATATCTCAACAAGGGATGGAGAAGAAATGGTTCTAGAATAGGTTAGGGATTGAATGAAAATAAGAAAGACAGGAAAAGAGGCTAATACTGAGATTATAGCAGAAGAGAAAGGGGGGCAGATGCAGTGGCCACTGTGAGGCTGCTTACCATTGAGATAGAGACTGTCCTTAGCAAGGGAGTAGGGGCCTAGCATGGAGATGCCGTACGTCTGGTTCCTCAGGTCCCCGTAAAGCCTTTCTCTGTCCAGGACAGGTCTGTTAGGGTCTTTCTGGTAGGTGCACAAGGCATCCACTCCAGTTGCTAATCCATCTTTCATAGGTCTGGGGAAGGAAATATTGGTGGAAGCTCTAGTGACTGGTGCTAAGAGATTAGCCTGAGGAGCGCTCAGATAGAGGGACAATGAAAGTAATATGAGAGGGCTGCCTGTGACATGACATGATAGGATTAACAGAGACCTTCCAGGATGTCTGATGGATACTACTTACCTTCTGGGATAAGATTGTTGAAGAAGCAAAAATTCCCACTAAGGAGAACTATCTTGATATATAGGCATTTGTCCTAAGTTATGACTTAAAAGGGAATTTATTTTCCTGAGAACCCATGGACCAGATGAATGGAGATAAAGCAGTTTGGGAATTTAAACATGGAGAAGGTATAGTAGAAGGTCAGTATATGGAGAGCTCTGCTATTGTGCTTGTATCCCATGAGCCCCGGTTTAGAAACAGCCCATTAGGAAATCTCTGATACTGGAGGCCAGGAGGATACACTCTCAATCAATTGCTCAACTGTGAATTTTCCTGGTTCTCACCTCGGGAATATCAGCTTGCATCCAGAATAGGTGGGGCCAATGCTGCTGTTCTGGAATAAGTGGCCAAGCTGGAAAAGGAAGGGGAAGCTGAATCAGTTCCTGGCTAAGGCAGTAGCTGGAATCAAAGGTATGCAGAATACAATGGCACAGGCAGGAAAGGAGGCAGGTGGTGGGGTCATCTCACCAGATGCTGTAGGATCCTGTCAGTGGTAGTGAATGCACTGGAGTCTGGGTGCTCCATTTTCTGCAGTGTAGATCAGGTTATTGATGGTGAAATTCGAGGTGAATGCCTCCAGGCTGTGGCCATGGGCTGTAGAAAGAGAAGGAGACAAGTCGTCATACCTGAAACTAGGGCACATTGGTCAGCACACCTAAAAAACACCCAGCTACTAGTGTCTTACTCCTTCCTGGGAAAGAAACGCAGCATTCTGAGTCCCAGTGATGGCCATTTGATGGGACATCTCCCAATCCTAAATGCCACCTTGTTTTGTACTTCCCATCTTCTAGTCTCACATTTAGTACTATCCCAG